GGTGAGAGCCTCGCCGGGTTTGTTCAATGGCACCAGGTGACCAGCCCCTCTCACCGTCACAAGTGTCAGCCCTTGGTACTCCGCCATCCTCCCTCCAACCTGTTTAACATGATAAACATCACTTTCAAATCATACTGAAATTAATGTTTATGTGACAATGGAGGGGAGATTTCAGTTTAAGTCTCTTATGAATGTATAGACAGGATGAAGATTGCAGCATGAAGGGTTAAAAAAAGTAGTGAAACCTGATGGTTATGGAACCAGGACCGCCATGGTGATTTGAGAGGAAGCCCCAGGGCTTCGACGCTGTATCGAGAACTAATGACTGGTACTCTTCCATCCGTGTCCCCACTGTTAAACCAGACTAATCATTTTTTATCAAGTTTTGTAATATCCATTAATGGAAGTATGAACATTGGTTATACCTGTATATCCATATCTTCAGGTTTCCTTTGATCAGCTTATGGTAGATGGGTAGTACGGAGAAAACAGAAAGATTGTATGTCCTCAAGATAGAATCACTGGCAAAAAGGAAAAATCATGTTGGGATTCTTATGTAAAACCTACGTGCTGATTAATGCATGGAATCAGGGTACTTACCTGCAGCTCTCCCATTTTCCTGCTCTGCTGTTTGCATGAAGGGATGTTTGAACATCTGCCCGGTTGAAATAGTCTTCTGCATATTCAGAATAACATGGATCATAACCTCCAGGGATCCTCGTTCTCCTTAAGCCGTAGTTTTTTACCTGCAAAATGGCATTCTTACATCATATTTCCATCCATGACTATATCAGAAAATTTGTTTCTGCAGACTCAAAAGCAGCCAGATAGATATTCACCTTACTAACAGCTGATGAATTAGTGCTGTTAACAAGACATTTGGGGGCATAGATATTATAAATATCGATTTCTGAGTATTTGTCAAAGACTTGGTTGACAGCATCACTGCATTTAATGGACCAGTCGAAGAGCTTGAAATCACATACTTGTTTCACTTTGTGGTAGAGCTGGTCTGGTATGACAGAGTGGCTCCAGGCATAGTCCATTATACCAGTGAAGTCATGGTAATCATTGGTTATCGGATTCCCTACCTGCAGCATATGCATTACGTTAGGACTGTTTTGCTCCAGCATTCATGGAAATCGATAAAACGTAACTTCCCTGGCGTGTGTGAGTTTCTTACTATAAAGCCTTTGAGATTGATGAGTGGATACTTAATCCCATCCTTGTTCCTGTCATACACGAGCTCTGCTAGCTGAGGCACGTAATGGCCTGCAAAACAAGAAGAATGATGATTTATTTATAGAGAGAGAGTGAGAGGGAGAGCATCAAAACATATCTTACCTGCATAACTCTCTCCTGAGATGAAGAAATCATGAGTTTTGAACTGTGGAAATCTTTGAAGCCAGTTCACCAAGAAATTGTAGGTGTCCTCAGCTAAGAGAAATGGTAAACTTAGTTACTTAATTTTTTGTTTCAATTTATAACTAATTAAACATCACTTCTACAACCAGTGAATTACCAACAAAGGCATCGTCCAATTTTGTAAGATCAGAAGATGTATTGGTGTAAGAGAAGCCAACTCCAACAGGAGATTCTACAAACAGTAAATTGGCCACTGCAGGAAGAAAAAAAAATGATCTTCCTACCCGAAATTTCTAAAATTCATTCATAGAGTAATCGATTGTATGAATGAAAATCAAAGTAGATGTGGAGAAAGTGGTATAGAAACCTTTATTCCAAGCATATTTGTTGAAATGAAGGTCACCACCGTTTTTACCAACTCTCAGTGGACCCAACTCCGAAGCTGCACCATAAGCTATCGAGGAACAACCAGGTCCTTCATTTAAGAGCAAAAGGGTAAAGAGTCAAATATATTGTAGACTCAAATTTGTTTGCAAACTTGCAATAAATGCTTGTATAACCTCCATTGAGCCAGAGCAGTAGAGGCTTCTCGGATGGTTCAGACTGAGCTTCAAAGAACCAGTAGAAAAGGGCCCTACCATGCTCTTGATTAACGGTGATGTAACCCGAAAACTGTGAGATAGATGGGCTAGGCGGCTGGCCTGGTAGATTGATTACTCTATCAGATTCCTGAGCTGTCAGGTATGCTCCTGACCTTTTAATGTAACTAATTAAGAAACCAAGAAAGAAATATCTGAATGAGGGAGAAGTTGAAACTCTTTTAGATGGAGCTATGGTACCCATTTCTGTTTCCAAGTTCTGCAACTCAGCCACAAGTTGCAAAGCTAAGTTTATAGAGAGTTACTGCATTTCAACGTCCTAACTAGAAGTAGGGGGAAAAGATAGGGGACTATCACTTTGCTAAAAGAGTTGACTCCGGGAATTGAATGGCTGAGATCAATTGGGAAACACCTTAACAATGTGATAAATATCACTCTCGAGCTTTATTTTTATCATTGGTTTTTTGTGTGCTACTGTTTGTTGTGAAGCTCATTGAGTCGGCAAGGACTAGTTGAAAGAATTATGCATGTGGTCCAAATAGCTTTCTTTCAAAGATTCAGGCATCACATATTTTTATAAAATTTGCTTCTCAACTTTGAGCAATTATCGTCGCATATGCCAATCATATATTTCAAAGCTATTAAGAAAGAGTGAAAAGGTTGTCCTTTGCTAAAGTAGGCCAGAAAGAACTTGGTTAGTAAGTCTGCCAATTACCCTCCAAGAGGGAGCAGGGTAAGCCAGAATCTGCCATTCAAGAAAAGAAAGCCCATGGTGAAGATGCAGTATTTCTCGATTCTCAAACGATAAACAGAGAGGGGTAAAGAGCAAGTGCAGGAGAAACCATTGCATACGGTGTTTTTATTAAATTTCTCTGAAACTGTCCACCCTAAAGTAGAGAAATGATTCGTTCTATGATAAGTTGCTGCTTGCGAACAATGGGATAACTATCACAAAATATTTCGGCTTAGGAACAGAAGAGGAAAAATTGAAGACACTGGTAAGAGTCTTCTATAGCAACAGCATTCAGAGAGAAAGAGAGAGAAGCACCAAATCCTGGTTTCCGTGCATTTTCACATCTAAATCCTTTATCCTTGAGTATGCGAAATTCGTCAAAATTTCCAAGTTTATTTCTTGAGCAGATAAATGATAAACCTTGAGCCAATTACATGCTTGGAGATACAGCAGAAGGAAAAGAAAGGTTGCATGTTTGAATCACTCTTTACAAGAATATGAGTCTTTGCCTCTTAGGGAACTGTACAGACTGAAGAAGCCAAACCGAAGAAAGATAAATTCAAGGTATGGGGCTGCATCTTAAGCATTCCATAGAAAGGAACTAAAATGGAAAGAAGATTCTTAGCTAGATTGGAGTTGATAGACCTTGATTTAAAAATGCAATAGTCCTAACTTCAAGTAGAAATGTTGAAGGAAACAAAAGAACAGTTCGGACAGGCAATCAGACACTCAGTTCAAGAGGCTGAAGAACCAATTCAGGATCAACTTTTTTGGACTTTCTGTTCTTTTTGAGAGAGAAAGGTCGGAGAAGGCCTCGAGCTAAGCGGCTTAATGGGTCCTGCAGACCTTCCATCTCGTAGTGTCCAAAACGCCAATCTCGTTCAATATAAGGTCGCTGTGTAGGTCTATCAAGGCCTCCTACAAACCACCAACAGTAATTATGAATCAAGTCAGATTTTGCGTTATACGGCAAAATTTCAGCATGTGCCGGCCGCAAGGCCATTTTAAAGAGACTACTTGGGACATTCAATAAGCATACACGATAGTATAGTGCCTTGCATGTAATGTATTTAACGTTGTGCCAATGGCCTCATGTTATTATTTAAAGTTTAGATGTCAAACCAATAAAGAGCAACTTCATTCTATGTTTGGTTTTATCTTGAAATTTTCACGCTAATTTCTCATCACTATTATTGTCTTTCAACTGTGAGGACCAAAATCATCCACAATTCATTTGGATGTGGGTAATCATAGATCATCCTAAAGTGGGGTTTAGGATAAGAAGAACCTGCTACAGTACCTGCATACATCAGACCGTATTTATTAACTGCCCGATAGAAGGGTCTTTTTTGCTTCTCTTTAGCAGCATTTTGAAGTTCATTCCATGCTCTTGTCCTGTCTTCACGTGTAATTTTACCTGTGGTCACAACCTGAAATCAACACACATTGTGATGTTTCACTATAAACACATGAGAGTAGCATTAGGAAGATCAATAATGGAATGTCCATGTGAAAAAGAACATAACCTTGGAAAATAGGTGATATGAAGGACGTGGCACCCGAGCAAGATCATTGGCACGGTCAACTGCTACAAGTCCAAACTTGGGACCATAACCATCAGCCCACTCCCAGTTGTCAGAAATAGTCCAAAAAAGGTAACCAAGCACAGGGACACCCTGTAATCAACCATAAGATTTACCTGGTTCTTGTAAGTAACTAATTTCAGAAAACGAAACTCTAGATTTTGTTAAGTTTACAGTCAAACCTTGATCATTGCTGCATAAACAGCAAGCAAATGTTCTAAAAGATACGGTCGACGGATCACATCTGTCTCATCAGAAACCCCATTCTCTGTAATGATGAAGGGAACTTTAAGATGTTTGTATCTTTCATGGAACTGAATCAGCATTCGAAACAAGCCATCTGGATAAACCCCTCGCCCTGATTCACTGTACTCATCAGTCTCTACTAGCTTCAGTCCAGTACCAGATATCACTTCCTGGCACCAGAAGAGTAAGGTCAATAGGTTTATATGTGCAGAACAAAACATTGTTCTGTTAACAGGGCAAAAAAAAGTCAAGCTGGAAAAAAGAACCTGTCCATAGTAGTTTATGCCCATAAAATCCAACTTGTCACAGATACTATCCACATATGGGAAAAGGGTGAGAGAATTGGCCAATGTAACAGCAGCAACATCAAAGAGACCATATGGCCGTGTAAATGATACATTATGTGCTACCCCAACTACTTTGTTTGATAATGTGCTGCTGAAATGAAATAGAAATTGGAATGTCACAAATTTGTGACAGCAATTATAAATATAGAAAATCAGTCAAATCGGTGAAGACATGTATGTCTATGTTTGCCTATCTCCAAACAGTCAATAATCCAACTTTTTGGAAATATGTGAATTTTTTTGACAAAATTCCTTTCTGCAGAGTTTCCATAAGGAGAAACCTTTGTTCATGTATACAGTCATAGGCCTTTGAATGTGCAATAGCCATCCGATGCATGACCTGTTTAAAAACACCAGTTGGTAGCGCAGAAGTGGCAGCCTCCAGCATATCAGGATGACCGCCAGGCCAAGCACCCGCACAATATGTGAGCATACAGAAGACATGAGGCTCATTAAATGTTATCCAATAGTCTACCATATCTGATACTCTGTTGACAACAATCCTGCATAGTATGCACACAAAAACGAAGTTATGAAACTAGTAGGACGTACAAAAACAAGTCATTCTTAAAGTAAAACTAGCATAAAGTGGCTATTATGAAATATGAAGTAAAATAAGCAGCCTTATTCATTCTGTATCATAATTTGAGTTAAAGTTCAGTTAAGAGCAGCAACGGATGAATGTTGAATTCTTACCACCCTCTCACCCAGCAACTGTAAATTTTATTTCTAGAAGTTTACCAAGACAGTTACAATTGTTTATAAAGCTTCTTTTTTGGCTTATACAAAAGACAGATGAGAATAGAGTAGTCATCAGTACAACCTAGATTGCATTAAAAAAAGTACAATTACTGAAAACAGAGCTGCAAAAGTATAGAATTTAAACTACTACTTAATGGAAGACTTACTTGGTAAAATCTATGAAGTAGTCAACAGTTTTATCCAGCTTCCATCCACCATAATCACCAGCCCAGGGTGGCAGCGAGTGATGAAACAATGTGAGCATCACCTTCATTCCATAGGAGCGAACTCTGCTGATGATCCACTTATATCGCTCCAATGCTGCATAATTAACCTAAATAGCAACACCTTACAACCCAACTCAATGCAGACTCATTTTACTTGAATATAGGAAAAATAAGGAAACCTGGATGTCATACAGGTGTCTTAAATTTGACCAAAAAATTACATTTTATAGGTAAGGGATAGTTTCCCCCATTCATCACCTATATGGTAGCCTTATAAATACCCTCCTGCTTGTTTCCCTTTCACTTACTGAAATCCGAGGGTCCCCTAACAGTTATTGTAGATGAAAAGGACACCCTTATATGTGGTGACAGGTGCATATGAGAGAGACAGAAATCGGCAGACATTTGAGCTATGGCTGAGCATTTGAGCTGTCACCATAACTTTCAGATTTGTAGTGAAAATTTCTGTTGTCACCCCCATTGACATAGAACCATTTTTTTATTTTAATACCAAACCAAAACTAGATCCAGAGTGAGTTAGAATGGCATCAACTTCACTTAGTAAGTTAAACTCTAGTACTACTTGTTATTCTATATTATGAAAATGGAAAAACAAAAGATGATTTAGTAAAGTAGCATGAAACTTACAGCATCCTTAAGCCCATTAACTGGCTCCTGTGGCATGATTCGAGACCAGTCTATTCCCATTCGAAAGACACTGATGCCAGTATCTTTAGCCAGCTTCAGTTCCGTGTCAGGATCAGACCAAAATCTCAATCTCTCCTCCCTGAAACCAATTAAAGCAATCCGTTTCTCAAATCAACAACAGATAAAATGAGTCTCGCACATATAATGATTAACCAAAAAAGTTGTAAAAACAAGAGAGAATCAGTAAATACATCCTTCATGCACCCAGGACCCATCTTGTAAATAAAGGCATCACGTTACATTATAAAGCTTACGGGTGAGGAACATTGTGCCATGCAGCTACATTATGATAGCATTCCTCATTTGAAGCAGGCAATTTTCCTCCTGCTTTTTCTTCTTCCTCTACCTCATCCTCTACAAACTTCTGGAACCCTCTTATCATGGCTTCCATGGCTACCTTAAGAGGCTTCTTCTTCTTCTTCTTAGCCATCTCTTTCCCAGTTAATATAGCTTGATGAGAGCTACCATCAGCAGCAGCACCCATCACTGCATCAGCTTGCAGCTGATCATCACTTGTTTCTGACTTGTCACAAGGAATTTCTTCTGCAAATTGTAGCCAAGCATCATGTAGCCTGTCTTCAACATGTGCCGGCGCTGTTGCTAATCCAAAGAAAAACACATTTTCCCCCTCACCTGAACACATAAGAATATGACCACCAGATAAAATTACTGAAATTTACATGCCTCAATTTATCACATAATTAACAAATAATTAATTCCATACACTGGGAAATTTAATTCTAAGACTAAGGCCATCTTTCTTCAATCAAAGAGACCAATATAAAGCCATAAATAAGCCAACAAATTCATAGCTTTCACCCCTCGTACACTTCGAGCTTCACTCTGAAATCCCAAAAACGCAGCTCACAAGCTAAGGATTACCGACGCTAAAGTCCAAGAAACAAAAGAAATTATTGGTTTGGTTGAGTGTTACCGTTGACATTGAAATCAGCAAGCGTATCAGAGGACTCGTCGATGGGAGATTTGAACCGTCGGAGATTCTTTTTCCGGTAACGAGAAAAAGACAAAGCGTTGGCTGCGATAGACACTGTCAGAATCATTCCAAAGAGCTTCGTCGCCGACAAAAGCAGCGCTGTGAACGCCATTTTTTTTGTTCTTGTGTTTCGAATTCGAGGCTGGAAACACTGCTTAATGGCTAAAGCTTGAGACTTTGGAGAGTGCAGTTATCGTTAAGACAGGGGCCTGACTTGGAAAAACTAGATACGTCCACGTGGCAGTGTTCCGACAGGGATATAACGGAATCCTGGCTTAGCATACTACTTCACAAGGCGAGTGCCGTGCACGCCTGTAACTTTCCTTGGTTTTTTCTTTCCGAAGACAATGAACTCAAGGTTATCGTCATCCATGACATAAATGGAAAAGAAAAAATTATCATTATTAAAAATATTATAATTAAATGTTATTTAAATTTAATAGCGAATACAAATATTAATCGATTAACCAAATTAAATCGAGTTAATTGAAATTTTTGTACTCAAGCCCCAATTTTTTACTTTTACATTTTCTATGCTAATTGTAAATTAAATAAAATTAAGCTATAACATCTAAACAATATTATAAATTTAATAATATTAAAAAGGTTTCAATAAATATAAATGAAAGAAAAATTTATCATAGTCAAATTGTCCACCATGTGAATGTTATATTTGCTAAAATTATGAAATAAAAATTCTTATAATCTAATGTTATTTAAAAGTTAATCAAACTAAACGAAAATATAGTGCTGAGCAAAAAAAAAAAACCAAAGATATAGCATTAACCAATTAATTGAATTAATCGAAATTTTTTGAATTCAAGTCTAATTTTGCTAATTTCATTTTTTGACACTAATTACAAAATAAATTAAATTAAATTATGAAATCTTATCGATGTTATGAGTTTAATAGCATTAAATTGTTCCAACAAACATATTTAGAAATATTAAAATTTTTTAATAAATATAAATGAAAAATAAGTTAAAATATATTTGCCTATGTGTCTAAAATTCTGAATTGATAGATTCAATTAACCAAAACAAAATTTAAAACTGAAACCGATTGAATTAATCGATTTAATGACCTTCACTTCCCAATTAATCAAAAATTGAATTAACCAAATCGTTATAATCAAATTTATTTAATTAACTTAATTAATTAGATTTTAACTGAAAATTAAATTAAAGCTGTGATCATTGGGCTTGAAAAGCAGTTGAAATTCATCCAAAAAAGAGGAAAAGGTCGAATGATAGGTTCGACCCAAAATAGAAAAATGAGCCCCATAAGCCTACAACATTGGCCCCAACTGGACCAGGCTGGCCCGACCTAGCACTCTGCATTCACCCTGGCCCGCCCACATAAAATACTGAAGTTACAATATCGAACCCTTTACAAAAAAAAAATATTCAATTTCTGAATTGAATTACTTTTAATATATTATTAATATTCGATCGTAAATTTTAAATATTAAAAATTGATGGAAATAATCAAATAAAAAAAACAAACTGAAATAATGAATTCAATCAATTTCGATAAGTTATTTTCATTTACGTCACCGAAAAGAAAATTATACATAATTTTTAAATTGAATGAAGCTGGTGAATGGTCCACATTTTTTTATTATAATAGTAATTATTATTATTACAGTGAAGAAGGGTGAATTTTTCAGCGCCAAGTATTTTTTTCCAATGAGTGTTTATGTCAGCATGCAAAAGTGGGTAATAATCAATTAATGGGGTGTGGCCCTAATTACAATGAAAAGTCGTGGTCAATCTGCAAAAAAGAAATGAGTGAATTTCTTGGTGTGGGCCTTTCAAGTTTCAGAATCAGATCATTTTTCCACCAAGATGCAACCTCTGAGGCTTCAATGGGTAAGGAAATTTTACAGGGAAATTGGGTATTTCCTTTGAAGTTGTTTCATTGCCTTAGAGGTGAAATGTACCCCACTGGAAATGCCTTTATCTTCCTCTTGCACAAATTAGTCGCCAATGAAGGAGACTGCAGGAAGTGATGGAAGTGCAATAAAAAAGAAAGAAATGGGCTGTCACAATTTAACCTGGAAAACAGTAGGTAGGACCACCAAGCAGCAAGATTTTTCAAAAAATTAATCAATCGTTTTGTCTGCAAGAATCTTTGCAGGGTTTTTGTTCCCGAATGGACCTCTCCAAAATATCACAACGCAACAGCTCTCCAATTTGGACTCACATGCACAAGGAAAAATAAGAAAAGGGAAATTACTTTCTAAATTTCCTTTGAGACATGTACGTGAGAATAGCATTCAAAATCTCCAACGCCCTTTTCTACTTTATCCCCATCTTCAACATTATTGGTTTCCTGATTTGGTTAGATGAAAGTCTCATACTGCTTTGAAGCTTTCATGCAGGGCGGAGAGCAGTATGGTGTAGCTGCATGATTTCCATCCCCCTCTAATGATTTCTTCATGTAGTGGGATGTCTCCTAGTATTTCAGTGATTCCTTGTCCAAACATTGTTTCTTTGGTTCAACAGATTCAGGGCCTGATGTGTCACATCAACTTCCCCAATCTGATATAGGCAAAACAATTTGCTGCTACCAACTAGTGCAACAGCTTCAAGTCCAATGGTTAAATTGATGGCTCTACCCAGTTTTTTACATTGACATTTTCGTGGTGTGAAAAGAAGGGGTTAATTTTAATCTCACATGCACACACGGATAGAGCGACGTACGCAGTGGTATGGGCATGATATGGGGGACTCAAAAAGCAGGCATGCACTGCAAGGAAAGGGCCAGAGGGGGCGCTATAGAGCTAGAGCTGGACCGCAATGGCGCCCTTCCCCCTTTGAATCAGGGAATGGAACTTAAGCATCAGCCATATGGATCAACTGATAGTGGGACAAGCATCATGATTTCATGAGCACAAACATAAGAGTAGAAGATGTGAACCAGCTTAGCCTGCCGCAGCCCTCGTGCGTGGCCGGCCTGATATTGCATACATTTAGGGGCGGGCGCGTATGGCACTCGAGCTTTTGTTTTTGTGAACACAACAAGGTGAGACAAAAGCCAAACATGTTCAATTAGGCCAATGTCATCATGCATTCAAACTCTACTGTTTACCGTTGCTGCTTCCTACGCTAAAAAGTCATATCAGTACGTACCTGACCACAGGATGAAGGCTCTTTCACACATCCATGTCGTAACCACCCCCCTCAAAATTTATAATCTGTTTTAAGCCATTGGGTTTCAAGCATATTTTGCTTTGAATGCGTTTCGATTGATCATATTCAATTATATTTATTGAAAGGCAAGGGTATTGATCAGTGAAACAGAAGTCTTAGTCAAAACTAAGTACATACAAGGCTATAATGTTTACAACAGCACGTTATAGGGAAATTAAGCTTGACAGTACAACATAGAAGTTTCTATTGCAATTGATCTCTCTTTTAACAAGTCTGTTTGTTAAAGAATTAACTTCTCTGCAGATATATTTTAAACTTGTAATTATATACATATATATATTATATTCTTTCTAGATCTAGCATGGAATTAATAAATAAACTTGTAAGTTTGTGTGTGATTTAGTGTTGACCGTCAATTAGGATGCTAGGAAGTGAGCAAATGGTGGGAGGATCCATGCCAACAAGTACAGTATTAATTAATGAGGAAACGCAGGCCAAGGAAATTGAGGAAAGGTGTGAGAGATTATAATTTCGAATTATTTTGACCATGTCTTAGGAGACTGTGATGGGTATGCCTCCTTTGCTCGCACGCCCTCCACCTCGAGGCTCCATACTTATTCCCCCACAAAGCCCCAACGCCTACTAATTTTTTTATTAATTGCGGTTTGAGCTGTAGAAATTTCTACGATTTTCGATACGGTCCTTTCCATTCTTGGAAAAACCAAACACATAGGTACCTTTTTAGTTCATTTAGATTTCAAATCCATCATCACCTGAAACAAAGAATTCGACTGCTTAAGCTCTAAACTATGCTAATTTAATTAGTTTTGACCGCCCTTCTTAAAGACAGCTCATTAGGTAATTAATTAATTAGCTGTACTTGGATTTGTTCATTTAGCATATTCCTTCAATGGCCAACACATGGCCTTTCATCAACAGAATATTTTCTAGTAACCTACACATCGTGAATTTTTTTAACATATATATATATAGGGAAGAGAAAGTTTCTGTAGAAAATGTTCATATGACAAGTTTAATCTAATAAACTCTATTTTTATTAATTAGTTGGTCCCCAATTAATAAGAGATAAATAAAAAGATAATTAATTATCAAAGCCGTCCGAACAAAAAATAAAAAGGGAAGGATTTTGTTTACACATTCATTGAATATAAATTATTAGGTTTATAACTTCATAGTTATAAAGAAGGTTGTTTGCAAATATCGTGAGAAGATAGATAGAAAAACATATACAAAACATACAAAATCATCCAGCTCGGCAAGTGTAGGGCCAAACAAGATGTTGATAAAACCAGCTTTTAATTTTTATCAAGTAAAAAAGCGCAAAGCTGATAGATCAAGCAGACTCTCCTTGGCGTAAACATAAGTCTGGAATTTAACCGGCTTTTTCTTTTTTTTTTGCTTTTTGGGGTTTGGACCTGTTGCTTTCAGGTCCATGGGCTGCCCAGGAAATCTCTACCTTTTTCTACCGCCCTCTCTCTGGCTTTATAAGCCTACCCATCTCTTACTTTTTCTCTTGCAAAAGGGTCTTAACCTTTCCTTGTGCTTATTATTCTCATTAGCTGTCTTTCTCTAGAAAACATGGAGGAAAAAGAAAAGCTTTCAGAGAAGGAGAAAGCAAAGCACAGGCTTCCACAGCCACTGGGTATGGAAAGCCTTTTAATAGAACGTCAAAGCTCTCTCTCGTCTTCTTTTTTTTCTTTCTTCTCTGGCCTGTCATCATTTCTTCTCTTTTGCACTTCCAGCAGGTTCAAACGTTCCAATGATTGAAATTAAAGAAAAAAAAAAAAGAGAACAGAAAGAATTGCTTCTACTGTCATGCTCTTCTTGGTTTTTGTTTGCTGCTGATTGATATACATCTGTGGAAATTAATTCATATTAACAATTGAAGATTAAGATTTGTGTTTAATCAATTCTGATATCATATTCAGTAATTAATTCTTCATTTCCTATGTCATGCAGGTCATCTAGTGATGCATGGGAGTATGATCAAGGGCAAGCGAGTACTGTCGAGGAACGAAATTGTTGATGGATTATTTCAATTTGGTGCTTACAACTCCTGTGTGATAGTGACTTGTTCATCTTAATTTGGTGCTATCCTACCTGAGCTTTTTTTCTCACTCTTTTTTCTTTTTTTTTTTTCTGTCTTTCATTCTTACTTGTTTCAATTTCTTTTCCTTCTTCTTTTATATTTTATCTTCTTGACCTTGTAAGACCTTTTCTTGACCTTGTAAGACCCCGTTCAGTGTTTCTTATTTTTGTTTTTCTCTCCACTGCAGACTCTATATCAGAACTTCCTGATGTAGAGTTTGCGAATTCTTCTACCCCATTCCCGCCCAACTCTTCTTCTCCTTCCTTGTCTATCCCTCCTGAGCTGTTTGAATTAGCCTAGCCTAGCTATAGCTAGCTAGCATCTCTCCTCAAAATTGTTCTGATCACATGCCAGAAACGACCACCTGATCAACTCCCATTCTGGGGTTCGGCCCCCTTTTTTATTCCCCTTCCTTAACATGTAAAAATTTAGGAAGAATTGCAGTGGTGAAATCTATGTTTGAGGTGAGTTTGTAACAGTGGTTGAAGCAGTATCAAAAAATAAAATAAAATTACATAGCTGTGTACTGCTCAGAGTTGTTTTTTTTGTATTTTTATCAACAGTAAAAGCTTTCACTTTCTTATTCTGTTAAGGCCATCAATGTCAATTGTTATTATATGTGCAGAAATATGCTTTGCAGGCATCAGTTTTCGTTGTTTTATATGTTGTTGGGCTGAGTAGCAAGAGAATAAATATTCTCTCAGATCTGCTTGTGTGGAAGAGTTCTCCTCGTGACTGCTCTTATGTACAACAACATATCCACTGTATTATTGGAGTTCTCTATCTATATCTTTCTCATTCTCTCTCCATAACACTTTTTCTGTACCAAAAGAAAGTTGTTCGCACACAAAAGCTGATTACCCCACTGTGGGGAAGTTGGACTTTTTTTCCCCATACCTCACGAATCAGGCAAAAGGAACCCAAAAAAGGGGCAAGAGAGACAGACTTAATACCATCTAATTCTCCATCCGTTCTCTTTTAATTTGCTTTCTTCTTTAATGCAAGACAAGTTGGATATCAGTGAGAGACCCTAGACAGTTAAAAACTATCATTTGTAACATTGCTGGTATATATGATTGATGATGATCAGTACGAAAGGCATATATACTTCAGAAACCCAGTTTGAGAGAGAGAGAGAGAGAGAGTGATGTTAAACTCATGCTTCATGCCACTTCAACACAGCACACTTTTTTTAGACGACTTGTCCTGGCCAAAAGGAAAAAAAAAAAGGTAAACTCTTGGGAATGTAGATTGCTGTTTTTAACGCTTATTTTTACTGGAAAAATCTTAACCAAGTGTTATATAATCTTGGTCAAGCCTTTCAAAATGGAATCCAAAGTGATTCAACTATGCAATCAGACATGTACCACACAAATTTACATGTTTGGATAGTGTGTCTTTCACTCTCTCTCATAATCTGTATAATCTTACACGTGAGCAATGCAATAAATTTGTAATTTATAATCCGAGAAAGAAAATGAGACGGAGAGAGTAAATAACAAATGTCGTCTACACCATATGTTAAAGATGTTAGTATCGCCAATTGCCATTGGCAAAGTTTTCACCCAAATTCAGAACTTGCAGTCAATCTTAGGTAGGCTACACGACTTTTCAATGCGGGAATTGGATACGGTAACTTATAACAAGCTAAAATGGTGAATCACCCAAGGAAGCAATACCTTTACTCTCTTTTTTCACATTTCAACTTTCACATAATTAACTCTCGAGATTCCTATACAGCATTGGGAATATGTCAGCATCATCAAAACAACAATTCTAGGCAGTGTCGGCTCGAACAATGACTTTGGTTTTACCAAACCTATCACTTCAATTATTTGTCGAAAGAAAAAAAAAATTGTCAGCCCTTCCTGAGAGAATATATTGATTCAACATCTGTCCCCAACTATGATGTTAATCTAACATGCATTGTGAAAGGGACGTTGAGAAAAAAAAATGTAAGGGTATAGTTTAAGCAAAGATGTAGACTTCACATGGACCTGAAATGATTCAAATATTGTTTTCTGAAATAACAATACACACGAATTCGACCCAAACATGCGGCAAAAACTCACAAATCAGATAAGTTGTGTCAATGTTGCATCCAAACCTCACCCTCCCCTCCCCTCCCCTCTCCCAAAGAAAAAAAAAATGGAAAAGAAACGTTTATAGGTTCAAATGCTTACTTGCAGATGAATATATCTGAGGTTTCTTCAATTCCTGCAAGCAGGAATGACAAGAGTTCAGCGTACAAGTGCATTTTATGTGTTTTTGTAATCTTCTGACTTAAGGGTCCCCTTTTATGTTTCTCATAGTCAAAATTGTTTTGGATTTGTAATATCATTTAATGATTCCTGTTAGTCTTTATCACGTTCTAAAATCGAGATATAACACGATTATATTATCTTGATGACAATGTTACTTTCGTAAATAATCCGTCTATATAAACTATTCGTCAGTACATATTATTTAGATATAAAAACTCAACAAAAGAAAGAGCTCAACACACAAATGATTTTTATGTATTTCTGTTCCAATATTCTGACTTAAACGAGTCTTTCTTTTATGCTTTTCTATTAGTATTTGTCACGTCTGGAATCCAATACATAAGATGACCATATTATTTTTGCAAATAACCTGTCCTTATAAACGATTGGCTTAACTTCTTCTTCAACATCAGAAAGATATTATTGGATATAAAAACCTGATATAATCACGTTCGGAAGAAGATTTGTGTGAAGAGGGCCAGTCACGATATTATTCTATTCACAGTTGCTTAGAGAAAAAGACCCCTTAATAGCTTACAGCTTTGTGTTCTTGTCAAACAAAAAGAAATTCTCAAAATTTGGTACTTAGCAATGATCATCCCGTTAGACTTTGCTTTAGAAATTTGAGTACCCAAAAAGGGGAAGGGAGAGGGGTGGTGACTTCTAGCACAAAATGATTGTGTCTGCAAGTGGGCACTGGAAAGCTGTTAAGGCTTTTTTCCCCAAAAAAAAAAAAAACCCTTTGTCCTATGGCTCTCATCCATTTACTATCTCTGTTGTTTGTGGCAGTGAAATGGGGTGGGAGGGGGGGGAATGTGACAACGTAAAAGCCAAAGCCTTCGAATTGAGGTTTGATCAGCAGCCTCATGATTTCTCTCGTATCCTATTTCAGCTCTTTTTGTGTTAGGTATTCCCAACATCGGGCCCCCTTTTGTTTTTCAAACTTTTTACCTTCTTTGAGTAACATACTAACATGGCTCATTCATTAGGTTTCCCCTTTCTTTTGTTCTTCCAAATCATTCTTTTCATGACCTCTCAATAAACAGCATATCAGCCATTGGCTTTGGTTTTGACAAGAAATTAAAAAATTGGGTAATGCTTCTCTATTGGAATCATTACCTCTACGAAGAGATTGAAAATTTAAATTTTATTTTTATATCGATTATTAAAATAAATGTATAAATATAATATGTCGATGATTCTGTTAATGAATCAATACCATTAATTCGTTAAAAGAATCATTAAATTATTAAATGTATACAATTATACATCGACTTACTTTTCTTTCTTTATTTTGTTTTTTCATCATGGACATAAATTTTGATTTTTGACAAGAAACTAAAAAGGAAAAAAAGTTAGAAGCAAATTCCAAAGATTGCTTATAACCTGCAAGGATTATGCATAATCTTCTCTCCAATCCTTTTTTTTGGTAATTAATTTTGACCAAAATGACAAACAAATTCGACAAGTCAAACATGGTTAACCAGTTCTGAATTTCCAAAGAGTACTTAGCTCAAACATGCTGGCAGAATTAATTGACTCTTCAACAACAAGATTTGCTTATAAAAAGGGTAATCGTTTTCTTCTTTTCTTTTGATCGAATGGAGCAAAATTATTACCTATCTTGACTAGACAATGCCCTTTTAGATGCATTCAAATCACATTTTTTATCGACGTTTAAAGCTTTCCTCGATCAAATATATATATATATATATATATATATATTTTACTCAAATTTTTTCATAAAAAAAGTTTAATCATACTCTCTTTGTCTTTATAAAGATGAATATAAATAAATGCTTTGCATAAATACTTAAGGACGCAGGGAATTTTTTCATGTATAATGCATGAATAATTATTTAAAAATGATTTATGGAACTAGAATTATCCTATCGTGAAGGTAGGGCTGTGCCTCATATATGCATATAGATAGGGCTGGACCATTGTGAAGGTAGTAACTAAATAAGGCTCAAAATCGATCATGGATGGATGGGCCAAGGACAATCTGGGTCTGGGCTGACAAAACCATCCTTTCAAGTTTCAAGTACAAGCAAGCATGCAAGGATTCATGTACACATGGGAAACAGTTCAATCAACAATACTTTGATTCATGATGATGTTCATAATAATAAATTCCACTTGATGAACCTTTTAAGTTTGTACAAGGCCGACCAATTAAGAAACTGAAATTTTTGTCAATTTTTTTTTTTTAATTTTCAAAAGGGAGGAGATCCTTTTGGATGCTTCAAAGTGAGCATGGATAGCCAGTAAGAATGTCTTAAAGATGGTAATAAGTACCCTTAAAATAAGTATTCGTAAATATTTAATTCGATTATATAAAATATAGATATTTTATATTCGAATTTGATATAATTTCGGATAATAAATTTAATGAAGAGTTTCTGTTGTTGAAAATGTAGGGAAAAAAAGAATTATTACCATTATTTTTAAGCTAAAAAAAGTGGTCCTTCCCCTTTCTCGAAATTGTTTTCCTTTTTCGTGTAAGAATTGCTATGAAGGAGTGGTCAAACGGGTAACTACAAAGAGAATGCCAGCTTTGTGTATGCGATGTGAGTTGTTTTCCTTCGCCTTATTTTGTGTTCAAAGGACCCCACGAGTCCGCCATAGCCAGGCTGATCCCACCCAATAATTGGACTCCCATGGCAATTAATAAGACTGCAACTATTAATATCCTCCAGTTCTACCGCCTGCCTGCAAGATTGAGCCTAATCTTAGATTATTCTTAATCTCTGAATTCTCCACTAATCTTTGCCAAAACCACTACTATATATCCGTTCATATGCAAGCTTTGGTCATCAAAGTTTTCCAACTATCAACCACCCCAATGACTTTGACATGTATGAACCCCAATTTATTCAACCCAGACATATCAAGGTTTCATTCCTGAAAAAGACTTTGAAAACTCACCTCAGCTAACTTCCAATTGTACTAGTAAGTTTTCTTCTAATTATTTAAGCTATGAATAAATATCTGATACATGATTTTTTATTAATAGATTTAACATGGTGGTGACATGCATGGATTTCCAAAGAATATTCTTTAATTTAAGAAAAAAACAATTATTGAATATTTTTTCTTCACCTAGCCTTATAGTAAGTTTTGTTGGGTTGATAAGTATTCTTCCCATTATTACCAAAATTCCCATTATTTTTTTAAGGATTTTTTTTACTCGAATTTCCTCCATTTGATTTGGAAAAGTGGGTAGGCTTACATGTGAACCTACCATCAAGGAAGAACCCAAGCTTATTCATTTATGCCCAATTGAATAACAAAAGGAAGACTTCCTTTGACACGTTCTTCTTCCCTTCTTCATTTGATGGCAATGCGGTTGATCAATACAAAAAGCACCAACTCAAAACACAAACTAAAAAGAAATGTTGAAACCGTCAAGTGGCAGATCAAAAGCTGTCGTCGGTGGGTAGTTTCGTCTTAGGCATGCCTAATCTGTCTCCTCCTTTTGGGCCATGGCCCATTCTTGTTTGCCCTATCTAGCCCTCTAGGGTTCCCTGATCCCATCCCAATTATACATATGAAATCTCGCCATCATTTCTGCTATGCCCTTTATTTTGACAAAAAACACATGCATGCATGTATACTATTCCATCCACTTCATAAAGATTGTTCAATTTTGGGGGTATAGCCATTAAAAACTAATACATCATGCTACATATAGGAAAAAAAATGCAAGGATGGATCAATTGAGCCAAAGTCGTACAAAAAAAAAATAAAAAAATTTATTGTTTACATGTGTGAATTATATATATACAAGGTTGGGGTTGTGACATTTAAGACTTATCTGTGGCTATTTCTTGTAAGGGTAATGTCACGGTGACATGTTTCTTTCAAGTTTGAATCTATAGTTTTCGGTGACTGCTGTATTTATTTGACTCTATTATTGTATAGGGGGGGAGTTCTTTTCACAAAAAGAGGAGAGGGGAGAAGGAAGATAATGTGAGTTCATTGATTAAATCCTGACCTGAATCTTTATATATATTTGAAAGCAAAGGGTTGATTAAGAAATATGGGTTTTGGCTCAATTATTGCATGTCTTCCTTTAAATAAAATTGAATGCATCTTCTGTCTAATGTGTTATTGGTGGGTTGGACCTTCAGATTTGCTAGAGAGCACACACCTGATTGGGCTTGAAATGGGCAACCACTGCCATGTGGCACTTGAAAGCCACAAACAAAATCTGATCCTTGTGAAACAAGAAGTCAATTATTCACGGGTACCGCAGAATTCTTTTTAGGTTTGTGCATGCATATAAGCCACAACTGATAATAGCCATATATAGGAACCTGAACGATTCATATCTCCTGTTACTCAAAGAGTTAGGTCCGAATACATATACAAGAATGAATAAAATGAAGTGAATAGCAAATGATGCATGTTCCCATCAATTCAAGATTCATGAACAATATTCTGTATATTCTATATATATAGAGAGATACAATTGGTTTTCAGACTTAAACCATTTACCTTTTTCTTCTGAATCAATTAGTGGTGTGTGTGCCAGGTTTCTTTAATTAGTGAAAGAGGAGTAAATGTGCTTACAGAGGAGTAGCCTATTAAATGAAGGGGGAAGGCTAGATATGGGTTGGGAAAGAGAGAGGGGGGGAAACTTCTCTTACCTTTCCTTCTTGCTTTTCTTGTTCAATAGGTTGGTCTTTTGCCAATTTCCACGGAAGTAAGTGTTGAGACTGTGGACTACATGGGAATGAGAGAACCCCTAACTTCATTTAAGGGGGTCAACAAACCATTTTAAATTTCCACTATATGCTACTATTAGAAGCAGATTGGGTGATCTTAACCTTACTTTTAAATCCATCCAACTCCATTATTAGACACCAAGTTTGGACAGAATGAATTAATTATAAAAAGCATGGCCTAGTATTGTCTGATTGCACACTCTTAGCACCATCTCCTCCAGGAATAATACGAAGTTGTCTAATATGATGCCTTGCACAAACTAAGGAAAGAAATCCAAAAAATGGCCAAGTAAATACTTTATAACCCAACATCCAACAGTTCTACATTATCTATTGTCAATGTCCTGCGTGTAAAATCTTCAGTGTCTGGTGGGTAGGTGCCATGGAGATGTGCAAAAAACCCAGGGAACCTTAAAACCCATAAATATTTAAAGAAGGAAAAACACGTGGAGTTGAAAGGAGAGCCTCGAAATCTGAGTGCAACAGGCAAGAGTTCGGGCCAACCGTGGTTCATGTCAACAGTCAGCACTCTGGGGAAATGAGTCCACAAAATCACAAAACCATGGAGAATATAGTATTACCCCTTCTGTTTACTTGCAAACCAAGGCTTAAGGTCAAAAAGGGTTCTATGAGAAAAGGCAAAAGGATTAAATTAGAGGGAGGGTTAAAAAAACAAGTCAAGGCAGAGTGAGGAAAGTCAACTGTTTTTTTCTGAAACAGGAATTTGCTACTTGTACAGTTGTACTTCACCCAAAGTCTTCGATTCCCTGAATCATCAAGACGAAAAGATTTTAATAATAAATCCCTTTTAACTTTTATCAGATTCTCTCTGTTTTCTTAAATATCGTAGGCTCTCACGCTTCTTTTGATAACACTCTTGCCCTTCTTCTTCTTCTGACCTCTACTGCCATCAGCCCTTTTCTGCAGTCTGGTTTTTGTTTATCTTTCCTTGTTTACTCCTCCCCTCTCTCACAGTCACATTCATAGATATATATATATATCCCATATATATTAGCATATCAGAATCCTTGCTGTCTTTAGTTTTTTTGTTTTCTTCTTCATTCAGTTTCTTGTACCTGGTTTCGTTGGAGGTCCGAATAGAACAGATATGGTGGTGGCTTCACCAAACCCAATTCGGGCTGAAAAGGTCCAACCCATTGAGCTTCCTGTCATAGACCTTTCAGCTGAGAGATCAGAGGTGTCAAAGCTCATTGTAGAAGCTTGTGAAGAGTATGGTTTCTTCAAGCTGATCAACCATGGAGTCTCTGACAACATCATTGCCCAAATGGAAGAAGAAGGTCTCAACTTCTTCACAAAGCCGCTCTCCGAGAAACAAAGAGCTGGGCCTGCCACTCCCTTTGGCTATGGTTGCAAGAACATTGGCTTCAATGGTGATATTGGAGAAGTTGAATACCTTCTCCTCGATACCAACCCTCTCTCCATTTCCCAGAGATCCAATACCATCTCCAATGACCCCAACAAGTTCAGGTAGTCACTCAAAACCATACTTTATTAATTTCCTTAAGTTTTTTCCATTCTTCCAAGTGTTGCATGCTTAGTTGTTTGCCCTTTTCTTCAATGGCGGCCAAATGATAGATAAAAACAGTGTATGACTAGTATGTGAATAAGCTATTGACAGAAATGTTTTAAAACTTTTTTTTCTTTTTTTTTTTTGTTATGAGTTTGGGGCCATGCTTGGTAGCTCTAGCTCTTGCCAGCATGCTTTCCTACTGATTTGTTCAATTCTGATGAATCCATGAACGTGGGATTTTGGAACTATGTAGCTATGAGTTGTAATCTTCTTTTCCATCCCATCCCATCCCATCCCATCGCACTCAACTCCACCTATCCAATGCTTTAAATGGCAATGATTACCATACTCTGCTGATGTTGTGGCCTAAACTACTGATAGTTGTAGTTCCTTTCTTTTACCATGAAGCAAGTTGGTTTGGGTCAGGGTTGCATCTGGGTCCTAATTTGCAGAAATCTGCTGTGCCATAAGCCAAGTTGTTCTCTTTCTTTCTTTTTTAATACTAATATTCTTTCAGACGATTTGGTGAAACTGAAATCTCTTTCCTAACTGGGAAACAGAAAGAAAAAAAAAGGGCAAAGTTTTATTGCGTCAGTGTCATCTTAATCTGTCGGTACAACTTGGGTTGTTTTTCTTTATTTAGGCAGGAAAGAAAACCAACCTTTTTATGACAGAATTGAGCAACATAAATCATAGGTTTCAGTCAGATAACATGTTTGAGAACAGATCATGTCTTGTTCTGTTTACTTCGGTAAAGAATTAAGGACAAATTAAGACATGTAGAGGAAAAAATTTTCCCATTTGGATGAATGGGAATCAAGATACTTACACAAATTAATAAGAGAAATATTAGAAAGGAAAAAAAAATTAAAGATTCAAAATCAGGAATACACGTGAGTTTTTAAAAGTACCTTCATTCAAAGTCACATGGGACTGTGGTATGTGGGATGTAGTTCTCCTCTCTTCTCCTACAAGGTGGGATAATATGTCAGAGACACTTCCCCTTGTTTGCTGTCAGTCCCCAGTTCCACGCGCTGCATGTATGCGCGTATGTGGAACATCACCTCTTAGGAGAAATGTGGGTTGCCAGGAAAGTACCATGACATCAAAAGATTGGAAATCGGAATGACAAGTCAGAACGAGAGCGCTTTGCATCAGCCGAAGGTCTAATCAAATCAGAGGGTGGTATAGAAAGGCAGATATTTTTTTGTTAAAACAAAAATAGAGAAAAATAACAATTGACTTATCTTCCCAAATGAAGCAAACACGAAATGGAACCACTGAAAAAGCAAAGCTAAAAAAAGTGGGAACAGTGGTTCAGCCTGAGACAGCAGAGTTTCAGTGTGAGTTTTTTTTATTTAAACCCAAAGCCTACAAACTCTACAACTGTTGCCCCTGCTTGCTAGTTGCTTGTTTTTCAATGTGGTGATGGTGATTATGTCTGTGTATTGCGACAGCTCTGCTGTGATTGGTTACATACAAGCAGTTAGGGTGTTGGCATGTGAGATCTTGGATCTGATGGCAGAGGGATTGTGGGTCCAGGATTCATCAGTGTTCAGCACGATGATCAAGGACGTCGAAAGTGACTCGCTTTTCAGGCTCAATCACTATCCACCCATTCTCTGCAAGGATAGGGAAACGTCACCCTCCTCATTTCATAGTCACAGCAGCAGCAAGGTTGGATTTGGGGAGCATTCCGACCCTCAGATATTGACCATCCTGAGATCCAACGATGTGGGTGGCCTGCAAATTTCTCTGGGTGATGGGGTGTGGGTTGCCGTCCCCCCTGACCCCACGGCCTTTTGTGTGAATGTGGGTGATGTTTTACAGGTTGGTCCATTTCTCTCCTCTCTCTCTCTCTCTCTCTCTCTCTCTCTCTCTCTGAAATCATAACAACCTCTTAAACCAATGTCGAAAAGAAAAGGTAATCGGATTGATAGAAAGTTGGAAAAACTGATATGCTTTGGGAATCACTGCAATTTTTCACTGAAGCTTTGGACTGGTCACCCTGATATCAGGGCCCCTCACATACCTGTTTCTATCCAATGAACGCTAGGGGGCTTGAGTAATTGATGTATGAAAACAAATGGAACTGAAAAGTTTCTGGTTGGTTGGGCTGTATTGCCATTTATAGTTCTTGCAAGCAACGATGGATAATCCAGAAAGTTTGCTAACGGTCACCAACATCTCTTCTTTTCACCTTTTTTCTCTAGAAGCAATTTTGGGTGACATTTCAGAGTTGGGGGGGACACAAACAGAACAGCATTAACTGGCACGTCTAGGTTCGATGCCGTGCAGGGACATACTGATGTTAAAGCTAGGCTTGTGTCATTGTAAGATATGCCAAATTCTTGTAATTCAAAAAAAAATGAATAAGCTTTAAGAACTAATTTGAGATAGAAAAGGCAGCTAGTGCAAAAAGGTTGTAATTAAAGTTAGAGTCGGAGACATTCCTTCATGGAGTTCAAACAAAATTGTACTAAAACAGTAGGAATAGTTGGTGAACAGTTCTTACTGTAAGCACATTAAACTAACAGTGATACATGTATGTTTTTCCAACATTTTGAAGGCTATGAGCAATGGGAGGTTTCTGAGCGTGAGGCACAGAGCCTTGACCAATTCCTGCAAGTCTAGAATGTCAATGGCCTACTTTGGGGCACCGCCACTCCATGCTTGGGTCACTGCTCCCGCAGAGTTGGTCACACCCAACAGGCCTTTGCTGTACAGGCCTTTTACCTGGGGTGAATACAAGAAAGCTGCATATTCTCTCCGGCTCGGAGATAGCCGCCTTGACCTTTTCAGAACAGCGCAACAGTAGAGAATGAACCAGTTGCTTGATAGAGTTCACATTGTCTTTTGCAGTCTGGATGGGGGAATTTTGACTGTAATCCTTCACAATGTATTCCTATACTTGTTGTTTGGGACGGGAGAAATGGTTTATGTTAATTATATTAGTGCAATTTAGCCATCAGTGAAAAGTTCTCTTTTCCAAGCTTTCTGGTAGTCTGTTGTGCAGTTGATTCTCGAGTTTGCCTCATGACTAGTTAAACACACTACTACAAGTAACCTTGAAAAGTTGATCCCCACATTGCTGTCATCAAAAAAGAATGGTCCTGATCGAGAAAGGGTCGACATCCGCAAAGAGAGAAAAAGGCTATGGCTAGGCCATGCTAAATATGCAGAATGCCGACTGCTGTGTACATCTCAGTGGAGGATGAGATGACCTTAAGATCAGGGAATGCCATAGTGAAAAGGACAGCATGGGGGACCAAAAAGATTGTTGCATCAAGCAATTAGTATGGGTGTTCATTCCAGTTTCAAGGGTCTGTCTGTCAAGAGACCATAAAGTTGAAGCTACTATGTGGCTCACAGAAAGAGATGGTTTTAGCCAACCTGTCATCCTGTCCTTGGCCGAGTTTGTCTATGAATCAACCAAGAAGATGTTAGTATTCCAAACACCCTTTCCTAGCCTCGCCAAGGTATTAATGGAACTTGGTTTTGGGACTGGTTTTGCTCCTGGCACGAAGGAAATAAGACAAAAACTGGGTTTTGTGTCAAAATCCAAATACAAGAATGCAACAGGTATTAAAACCAGACAATGAAAAAATGAGGGGCTTATCATTATGGTTGTTGAGTTGGATTAGACCGTTCACTTTTAAGAAAATTAGTTTGCTGGTCCACTATTGTTCTGGACGTGGGGGCATGCATTCAAGCCACTTTTCCACATTGAAAGTATAATGCATTATAGTTTAGATGCTTAGGATTCGATTTGATGTTTCGGTTCAAGTGTTCCAGATATGTAGTCGACATGGATTCATGCAGAGATGGTAGGGTAGGTTTCTGTGACGCGAGGAACCCATGCACAAAAAGGGCCCTAGCTCTCAGGTCTCACTGTGGGCTTTGAGCCGTTTGATAACGGCGCAGTTAGACTCATTTTCAGATTGGACTCCAAATTGAATTTGGGTTCATTCTCTCTGGCTTCCTCTCCTATTATGTCAAAACTTGGAATCGAGACATGGCATCCTTCATATCAAAACTTGCAATCATGTCTGAACAAAGTCAAATGCAAACGCTTTATATCGAAACTTAGAAGCTTTCAGAGCCTAATCTCAATTTTCCTTCAAGCTCCTGCTACTTCCTTAGGATCCCTTGCAATTTGAATCCTGTTTCAGAAGGAAAAAGAAGAATGAAAGCGGATGGTGCATGCTGTTCACAGTTCGATGCCACTGGACCATGCAATAAATTGAAGTGGAGAAGACTTTGCGAAGCATCCTCAAAACTTTATAAGGAATTCTGACATGATCTCGTGATAAAATGGTACCAAACCGGATTTAATTTTGATCAAATTCTCGTCAAGCACTTCCAAGCAAAAACAGATAAAATGGGGAGAATGTCGGGCCTTGCACTTTAAAAGTAGACATATGTTCCTCTACCAAAACGTAAATCTATCCGTCCGAAAGATTGACGTCTGATGAAAACGTGGTGGAAGCTTTATGGGCAGTGAGAGAAGAGCTAGGGTCGGCGTTGCCCTGGAACCGGCCGCTGATGGCTCTCTCAAACTAAATAAAGCAAAAAGCATTCGGGAAAAGGACCATGGGAGTCGAGCTAGGTAAGAAGGCGTCATGTATATATTGCAATAATGAAGTCATATGTTCAATTATTCAGATATTTTAGAACCGTACAAGTATGTTAAGAGGCTACCAAAAAATGAGCCACCTAATTCAAGTCAGTCCTCCATGAATGATACAACAAACAAGCACTACTTTACATGAATGATGGCTGTTAGGACTAGGAATATTTTCTGAAGTTCACTAAACTCTGTTCTTTGGCTTTGTTATAGTCACCTCCATGTCTCCGTTCAGCACTCGAGCGTTCATCTAAACCTTTTATTAATTCTCCTATGCTTGCTAGTGCATTTTATTAAGGAACAGTCATTACTGGCCGTGACTCTAAGATTTAGCAGCCAGGCGCGAGCACTTCCTTCTACCGGTTTTGCCAAGGCCACAAACACACGTCTCAAGAAGCTCATAGTCTTCCTCCCAAAACAAAAGGGATGCCTTCTGTGGGTTCTGCAGTAGCATCTTTGAGGTAAGGAAACCAGCAACTGTCCATGTCTGGAACAGCCGGGATTGCTTGCCTATAAACCTCCCACTTCTTGTGTCATAGTATTCAGGCCATTGATCCGCCGACAGCCTTTCCTCTGCCAGAGCAACTGCCTTTTGTGCTAATTCTGGTTTGCCCATCTTTATACAGGCCAATGTAAACTGAAAAAACAAAAAGCAAATCATTCAATTACAGGACTCAGGATCATTACATGACCAAGGTGTAACAGATAGGTGATTGATTCAATAATCAACCTTCACAAGCATTATAAAAGATTTCAAAATACACATAACTTGATCAAATATAAGCTTTACCTGCCACAGGAGCGTTGGCCAAGATCCACCATTGTGATATGACCATGGGCTGCAAAGACGAAAGTCAGTTTCTAAACAATTGTATTCACCCATTTGCTATGTTTATGGAGAAGTTAAAGAACATGGCAATATAATGATAAGAGCCTCACGTATTCTTTGGGTCACTTCCAGTGATTATCCGCCACTCATCAGACTCTAGTGCAGGGTAAATAATCTTAAGAGGCATGTTAGCCACAAAATCATCCCATTTTGCCTCAATCAAATTCAAAACACCCTCATTCTGTTTTGAGGTCCCCAGAGAAGAAACAATAGTCCAAAGATTTCCCAGGGTGAAAAACCTAAAATCCATATGAGCAGGCTGCAAATTGCCAATGAAGTAGCCACCTTCATCAGGAATCCAATCTACTAGCCAGGAAGGAATCTGATCTGGATAGATATTGAACTTGTTGATGGCATCTGTAGAATATTCCTCTGTCTTGTAACGATATATCTCATTGATTTTCTTCATATCAACCCAGTAATACTCTCTGATGTGAAATGAGAGTGCACTGAGTCGGCTGTTAATGGCAGCGACCAAATTCTTGGTTGCATCATTAACAGTGAGCATCTCGCGAGAGCAACGCAGAGCAGAATAAAACAAGGCCTGCAAAATCAGGTATTAGGGAAACACCACAATAAGACAAAGCAAAGCAAGAGTAAGGGTAAAACATAATAAATCAACAGGTGAAATGTTTAATATATGTACTAAAAACTATTCTGCTTACTTGAATTTCAAGAGGGTGGCCATGAATACCCATTCGTCTATCAATCATACAGGAGCCATCAGTGACCAACAGAGAAGGAAACATGTCAAACCCATCAGTTAAACACAAATTAAGGATCAGTCCTATGCCTGTTTGTACATCCACCCTCTCTTGTAATGCATAGTCACCAGTTATCTTTCCATAAGCTCTCAACAAGATAATCCACCACAACCCTGTGAAGATAGTAACCATGTGATTATGATTCTAGAAAATCTCACAGCAAAAATAACAACTTGATTAATGTAATGTCAAAAAAGATGAAACGATTATTTGCAAATAAACACTATGATATTTAAAGAATAAACACCTAGAAATAAACTATCTTGACAGTATCCAATGTTGAAGAAGTGGTTATCAATAAATGCTGCCGTGACTAAAAGTCATATATCATACCAGAATCAACAGGGGCAACACGGCCAATGGCTGATTCACCAAAATCAGCATCTAAAACCTCTTCGAATGCTTCACTGCTTCCATCAAGAGGGGCAGTTCTAACTTTAAAACTTGCTGGCATCAACCCTTGCCCAGGGCTATAGCAGTCCACAGTCTTCTCCCAACTCTGAAACCAACAACAACATCATCAAAGAACAGCCAAGCCCAAAAATAATATAAGACAGCCCATCAATATAGCACCCCAATCTAATAACCAGAAGATATTAATTCACCGGTTAAAGTAGTGAAGCTCCTTTGATACTATTTATGATGAAATTCCCTGGTGCTCAATAAAATGCACAACATACATGTAACATGGCATCAAATGAGTAATATGTGCATATTGGCCACTTCCTAAATTGTTCTTCTATGGCATCATTGCGACATGCAAATATCAAAATTAAATCTGCATCAATTCACATTTGTCTATGGACTAAGCATTGACATAGCAGTGATAAATCTTTCTAATTTCTTACAATTTTCGAAATCAGCTGTAATATCATAAAGTTCCAATCAATTCACATAAGGTGTTCAACTTGCCACCAATCATCAAAAGCCCACTTATATTGTAAGTAAAATGCAAAGGCAAAGTTAAACTATAAAGATCATATGTACCTGTAACTGCAATGTGTGAAGAAGAAAATTCTTCACAATCTCAGACTCTCCATTTAGCAGAAAAGCAAGTGCTGAAGGTACAAAGTCACGGATAAATATCTGATCATAGTTCAATGGCTGCTTGTCTGCTGGATCATTAGCAGCTACAGTCCCCACAGGATGTCCACAATAGTTCACAACAGCACCACGTAGTATCTTCCATGCCTCTTTCTCAATCTCAGGCTCAGTCAAATTCAAACCCTTTACATTATCAATATTTACACCAGACTCATTAACATCTACACCAGTATTATCCTCTTTAACTAATCCATTACCTGTCTCTATCCTCTCAATCACCAGAGGCTTCACATTCAACCCACCTTGAATGTAAATCCTCTCAAAGTTCTTCTCGTTAACATGAGGATCAACTGACGTCGAATGGTTCCTAAAATCCGATGCTACTTTGGGAATTACTAAAACACCCCTAGACCTACCTTTATCAACACGAAAACTACCCGTAAAACCCCTAGACTGACCCCAACTTGAATCGGACACACTAAAAGCCCGCCGATTCGAATCAACAGCACACTTATAACCTACAATCTGCGATTTACTATGCTTATAACAGTGGAACCTACGGCGATCAACTGCCTTAGAAAGTGATTTCGACAAATTATGGATACCCGAACGGTTCATTTTCGGTGGAGATAACCCGAAAATGGAAGAGCTTTTATAGCTAATTAGGATTCTACAACAAGGCTTCATGCTAGAGATTCCAATACAAGTGCTAGACTTCATTTTTTTTCCCTTTTTTTCCCTTTTAGTGAATTCAAGAATCAAATTTCTATAAATATATATATATACAACAGCTCTGTTAATCTTAAAAATTGAAGAACAGAGAAACAAAGACAAGCCTAAATCTAGAAAAAAAAAAGGAAGATAATTTAATAATTAATTAAATACTAAAATTAAAACTAAAAATGGATTTGGAAATACTTACAGTTGAAATTGAATTGAGAAAGAGAGAGCTTTGTCTGAAGATTTGTAGATTTGGGAAAGGATGGCATTCGATTGTATTTATAGATGAAAATGAGGAAAAATCCAAATGGGCTTGAATTACATTTATACCCCTGCACGTGACTGACCTTTTTGATATTGTTGGTTCGAGTTTTCCATAAAACCCTTTCGCAACGATGACGTTGTTGTTATTATCTTTGATTTTCCTTTTTCTTTTTCAACTTTTTTATATTAAAAAAAAAAGGAATTTTTTTTCCTTTAGTTGGTGATAACTTTGTTTGAGGTTGACAGTTAAAACCTTTTTCTTCCTACACCATTTCCCAAATATCATCTTTTCGACAAAAATAATAATTATTAATTTTATTTTATTAATTTATAATTTTCATAATTGGAGAAATTAATTAAAATTTATTTCTATGTTCTAATTTAATTATTAACATATAACCTTAAATTTGTATAGTTAAAATTTATTAATAATTTTATATTAAAAAAAGTGTGAGAAAGAACATTAATCTAAAACCAAAATCGAAAAAAATTATCACTAATCTTGTATATATTTGATTTAAATTATATATTTTATTAAAAATACAAATAAAGTAATTTTAATCTTTTTAAAAACTTGTAAATTTCTAAAATATTTTACGGAAATATAGGTAGATTTTTCGGACATTTTGACCTTTCAATTTTCGTGGAATGAAATGTATTTTTTTGACTATGACAGAAAAGAAAATTAAAAGCGTGAAAAAAGAAAAAAACATGTTCTCTTTAAAATAATAAAAAAAATGATATCAGAAGGGTAAAACAGTCTTAATAAAATTTTGCAATTGCGAATGGATCGGGTTTGGCGGCGGTGGTCCCCATCTTTCCTTGTTAAACAAATATGCGGAAATCAAGGAGCCTTTCTGACGTGGAATTTTATGAATGGATAAAATCGTAGGTAAAGCACCGTATATGTATATGTACCTTTTTACATACATTTAAACGTGGACGAGAATCATTGGCTAAAAATAACAGCTGCTTTTTTTTTTATTTTTGGGAGCCATTATACGAATATATATAAAAAGGGCAAAAGGGAAAAAATATCTTAAGGGACGAAAAAGATACATTCGTCTGGGTAAATGGCGATATTTTGGTAGGAAAAGATTTTTGTTGTTCTTTTTGTTGGCACGTGTGGAATCCATATCTCTGTTTACGTCAT